AGATCAAAAGGAAAAAATATCAAAAGAATATTTACATGACAAAATTAGAAAAAGAAAAAGAATATCTCCATATCTCCTATGTATGTGCAGAATATATGAAAATAAATCCAACACCCTCCCTCAAGTTGGAGGGGAGGAAGAAACCCCCAACTTGCCTAAAAGTTGATGATGCACGGGGACGGTCAAGGACTTGGTAAAGGTGTCAGCCAGCTGTGAAGAAGATCTCACATAAGATAAAGAAATTAAGCCAGCGAGATACTGTTGACAAATGAAGTGACAATCAATCTCGACATGCTTTGTCCGTTCAGGGAAGACTGGATTTTTTGCGATGTGAATCACAGCAAGACTGTCAGAGTGAAGAGTTACTGGCAAGGAGATCGGAACTGAGAGATCATCAAAAAGGCGAACCAACCAAGTAAGCTCGGCTACTACTCTCCTCATAGATCTATACTCAGCTTCAGCAGAACTAAGAGAAATTGATGTTTGTTTCTTAGATTTTCATGAAATAGGAAAAGACCTAAGAGAAATATAAATCCACTCACTGATCTTCGTGAATCTGGACAAGTACCCCAGTTGGAGTCACAAAAGGCCATCAATTTGAAAGAAGCAGATACAGACATAAATAGACCAAGACCAGAATCTTTGAGCAAATAACGAAGAACCCGTAAAGCAGCTGCAAGATAAGGTTCACGAGGATCCTTCATATATTGACTCAGATGTTGCACTGTAAAGGATAAATCAGGCCTTGTATGTGAGATAATTGAGTTACCTAACAAACGCCTGTATAAAGTTGGATCTTTAATGGAATCCCATGATTTGCTAGTAACTTGACATTAGGATCCAAAGGTGAAGAAACATGAGATAAATGTAGAGAACCAAACTCATGTAGTAAGTCCAATGTGAATTTCCTTTGGGAAATAATCATACCAGTAGGTTCTCTCACAACCTCCGTCCCAAGAAAATAATGCAACTGGTCAAGATCTTTAATTTTAAATTTTTTGTCCCGAAAGAGTTTTAAAGCCTGCAATTCAGCTTCATTATTTCATGTCAACAATATGTCATCTACATATACTATCACAATAGAAATAGAATCGACAGATTTCTTATAAAAAAGAGAATAATCATTCATAGAATGACTAATACCTTTAAAATTGAGAGCAGAAGTGAGTTTAGCATACCATTGTCTGGATGCTTGCTTAAGTCCATAAATGAATTTTTTAAGCAAACAAACATGGTTAGGAGAAGGAGGTGCAAGATCGGGAGGAAATTTCATGTAAACCTTTTCATTTAAATCACCATATAGAAAAACATTATTCACATCTAATTGAAACACACCCCATCCATCTAATTGAAACTCACCACATCTAATATCTCCATATCTTCTATATATGTGCAGAATATATGAAAATAAATCCAACATGTATTGAATAAGAAGGAGTTATCCTTATTCAAGGAGAGTCGATTGACCATCACTTTTTCATTCAACTCTTTTTCCCCCTTTGGACTGAGAGCATATCAAGACATATTAAGTGACAATAATTTTGGATAAAGTCTACAACTCTATATACTCTATCATTGTTGATTCCACTTAAAAAATAATACATTGTTGTTGTTGGTGTTGGGTAGTCATACTGGAGTCACATTTTAAAGTTTAGGGGTATAGTTTGTTAGTTACTGAGATCGTAATTAGATATTTTTATATATTTGATAGATTTTTTAATATAAATATAATATTTAAAGTAAAAATTATTGGTTTATTCGAACCGGTATTTGATATTGTAATTCTACCCCAAAGTGTAGATATTGAAAATCTACCCCCGAACTATCGTAAATGGTATGCAAATATCCTCCGTCATATTTTTGGGACATTGGTGCCCCTACCGTCCAAAACCTAGAGCATATATACCCTTTATACTAACAGACATACACGTGTCATAATCTTATCCACCGATCCGACATTTATCGACGGATAAGATAAAGCCGCGTGTCCCTATTTAGTCTTCCGTTAGAGTGAAGGGCATATATGCTCTAGTTTTTGGACAGCAGGGGTACCAATGTCCCAAAAGTATGACGGAGGATATCTACATACCATTTATGATAGTTCAGGGATATATTTGTCCTTTTTCTATAAAAAAAAAATCCTTTTAGGGACTTTTTTGTCTTTTGAACAATGTCACAAGTAATTCTAATATTTTCCAAATATATAAGATTGGGATTTCTGTTTTTGATATTTTTCATCAACTTGAAGACATCGTCGTTTTGAGTATATTTGTTCATCACACGGAAAAATTAAATTGTTTTTAGTATCTTTTAATGATAAATGTATTTACTAATTAGAATCTGGTGTCAAAACATATATACAAAATTATGATTTGTTATAAATGGATAAAACAAATCTAAAGTGGGAACAAACACATTCACTATTTTCACACTTTTGACAATTAATACGTAAAAACGTTAAGGTGTCTAAGTAAAATTTCGTGTCAATTTTGAAATTTGTGTATGTATTCAATCTTTGAAGAAAATTATATTGTATTTTCATATTTAATTATTTATCCAAAATTATATTCTAATTATATTTTTTAATATTACATAATACATAACTCACCAGTCATGTGCAACATACGTGTTAAAAATATTACAGTAATCAGTGAAGAATAGGAGAGAGAGAAGATAAGAGAAGTGGACTTGGGATGTGAAATATACAGCTACCTTTTTATTAAAAATACACAATTCTTACAATTTTGCAATACTTATTCTTCCTTTTCTCATTATTTTTAATTTGTCCTTTGCTATGCAAGAGTCACGTGCCGTAACAGAGTCAAGATTTGAAGTTTATAGATACAGAATACATTAGTCACTTAGTTTTATATATAAGGTTTAAGTAAAGTTTATTAGATTCATTGAATCGTATATATAGCTCCACCCCTATATAGATGTTTGAAATCTACATCAAGAAAGTCTTTTTTTTACGAAGAGTTTTTCGTCTTTTGAACAATGTAAAAAGTAGTTTTAATGTTTTTCGAAAAGAGAATATATTTTGTGTGTGTTAAACAATAGTATAGCGAGTATAAGATGACATTTAACTCTCGGAACGTAACACTCTTACAATTTTGCAATACTTCTTCTTCCTTTTCTCATTATTTTTTTCCCTTTGCTATGCAAGGATCATAACGGCATGACGGAGTCAAGATTTGAAGTTTATAGATACAGAATATGTTAGTCACTTAATTTTATATATAAGGTTTGAGTAAAGTATATTGGATTCATTGAACCGTATACATAGCTCCACTCCTATATAGATGTTTGAAATCTACGTCAAGAAAGTCTTTTTTTACGAAGGATGTTTTCGTCTTTTGAACAATGTCAGAAGTAATTCTAATGTTTTTCGAAAAGAGAATATATTTTGTGTGTGTTAACCAGTGGTATAGCGAGTATAAGATGACATTTAACTCTCAATACACTCACATTTTTTGTTCTTTTTTATAATTTAAAAACCGTGTCGTTTTGAGTATTTATATTCACACGAGAAGATTTTATTATTTTTAATACTTTTTTTATTATATTTTAATAATATTAGTATTGTTTTATAATATTGCATATTACATAACTCGAAAGTGACGTGCAATACATGTGCAAAAAGATTAGTATAACCATAATTTTTTAAAATAGTGTGTCCGCAGTTAAATATCTATATACATTCAATGGATCATCTAATACAAATATTTAGCATAAGTGAAATTTAATGAATTCATTTGAACCCATATTTAATATTAATGCCCCCGCGGGCGAGGATTTAGCATTTCACCTTTGTTGTGGGCATGGTGATGGTGGAGCACCCATGGAGGCATCAAGGTATTATAACCATGACGACTTTGATTTTTATGATTCGTTGCTTAAAAAAAAACGCTGAAATTTAAAATAATAAGAATAAAAAGTAAGACGAGATAAATCAATAAATCGTCAATGCACTAGGCTATTCCATATGTGTGTGTTTGTCATGGGTAAATATGGTCTTTCAAACAAAATCTAAATGCACATAAATATTTTTAAAGATGCAATTAACCCCATTTGTTTATATTAAGATTAAGATGTTTATATCTGAATACATATTTCACATTTAAATATTAAGATGTATTAGGTTATTTGTTATCTAAATTAAACATTGAGTATATAGAATTATCTTTATTTATTAAAAAAATAATAAATATAAATAAATTCATGTAAAATATTCAAAGAGAAAAAGAGAGTACGTACTCAATTGTTAGGTCATAGATACTGAGGGAGATTGTAGCAAGAAATAAAGTCACGTGTAAAAATACTCAAATTCATATTTCTTTTTTCTCATAATTTATTTTTAAATATTGTAATTCAGATCAAATGCCATGTGTCTTCATTTAATTCGTTACTTTGACATATCATTAACGAGTGTGTTACACATTCTATACATATTAGGTCAAGTTAGCGAAAAGTGTCAAACGATACTATCAGACCTGACTACGAGTGTTTAAATGGTACTAGTCTAAGTTGAGATATCTAAAATGACACTTCGTGTCAATTTTAAATATACGCTTATGTGTTTAGTCTTCAATCTTGAATTTCGTCTCCTTATAATTGATGAGAAATCATCTTATATTCCTTGAAATCAAAATAGTTTCATCTTGTGAATATATATAGCTTGAAGCGTTTCTGTAAAATTGACTACATAATCATATATCATTATTATGTATTTCAAAAATCTTTGAATTAAGCTTTTGATATACCCCAATTTCATGGTTGCATGAAGATATATTTTTACAAAACTTCTAAGAAATTATTGATTGGAGCATGGCGAAGCTACATCTTTGTCTAGCCAGAATCAATTGACACTCTTTCATCGAAAAACAATTTTCTATAAATAGGACAAAGTTAATAAATATCAAACTCTTCTCTAAAGTAAATAAAGAAATTGAAGCATGGATATCTAATTGTCACCAATTCCAATATAATAGTCCATATAGTTATATATGATTAATGTATTAATGGGATACATATTTCTCCCATAAAACTTACAAACTCAAATTAACTTAACAATTATAGGAGCATATCTTCTTAAAACTTCTTACAATACATCTATAAAAACACAATAATAAAATTAAAGTCCATAGCTCGTCATTCCCCACCTCTCTTTCCTTGCATAACATTTATATATACTATAACTTCACACAGTGTATCGCGATCGCAATAAATCTTCTGTCCTACTACAAGTACAGTACGTACTGCAACAAGCTCGAAAGTACTTTATTGTACTTAATTATCACGGGATGGTATGTGAATGATGATTATTATTTTAGAAACAGATTTATGACAGAAGAGAGAGAGCAAATTATTATATAAAATATGCATTTTTTCAACGTAGATGGAAGTTTTTGTGAGTTGAATTTTCTTGGATAGATATATGAATTCTATGAGACTGATCTGTAGATGATGAAGACGATGACGACGATGTAATCTTTCTTCGCCTTTCGTTGTGTCCAGCCAAACGTCTCCGGCAACTCCTTTTCGATTCATCAAATTCCGTTAGCTCATGAAATCTGCGTAGAATTAATTTTATTAACCAAAAACAGAACAATAGCTAGTACAGAGTACTATATATGTGTTCAACTTTAATATGACCAAACAAAGTTCACATTCATAAAAAGGTTGAGAAATAGTACGTCTGGTTCACCTGGTTCTACTACTATATGTCGGGCCCAATCACACTAGTTATATATGTATGTATAACACATGCAAATCATTATTTTCGGGGAACTAGGCAGAAGGTAAATAGGCTCCAAGTAGTTTGTCTCGTCATGGAGTTGGTATAGGTTTTCTATTGAACAAATTATAGGATTTTTTTTTATTTTTTTTACATATTGGAGATGTATAATAGTTAGATCAACTAACAAATTAGCCTCTTTGAACCTAATTTTGTTTAATATATTTATTAATTAAGAAGAAAATATCAATCACAAGTATATCACCAAATCAGATATATGTAGTAATGTGTACATAGCCCGATCTGATTTTATTTCCAGCAATTATAACGTGATAAATTAATTTAAAAAATGAGAAAAAATTGAGATTAGGAACGTTAACTAATCATTCATTAATTAACTAAATTGTCTTCCTAATACACGATCCAAAAATGAGATCTTGATGCTTGTCCATCCAAGTATGAAGAACACTCCAGGTGCAGTGGACGAGACTGCCCCTTCCTTACCCGAGGTCTCAAGTTTGAGCCTTGGGTATGAAAAAATTCTTGATATAGCGTGCTTCCCCAAATGCCCCTACCCGGTGCCAATTCGAAATAGTGATGGAAAATATTTTTTTTAAATGTATGAAGAACGTAGTTAAGATGACATCCTTAGCTAGTTTACATAATATTTCAATAATTTATGGTAATTATATGGTTAATTTTTTTAATAAAAAAATTGAAAATACGTTCAAGTACAAAACAACAATTTACTCTTTATTTAAATCAGTTAATTAACAAAATTTTGAAAGGCCATTGTCCTATTTTTAATGCATGCGGAAAAACGAAAAGGCTAGGATCCACAAAAGTAAAAAAAAAAAGAGGAACAATACACTAGTAGAACAATAGATAAAAAGGCAAAGGCAAAAAGATTAATAATTTTATCGCATCACGAATCTGAATTAGTATACATTCCAGACTTATCTATCCTACGTCTACATGTATTGCAACAAAACACACTCAAAAAAAAAAAAATCCTCAGTCTATCCTACTATACATCCTATCTAAAATGAATTTAAATTAATCACACCGTACCGTAAATCTAGAACAAACAAAAAGTGTATAAATAATTAATACTATATATTATAAAACATAGCGATGTAAGATGCCATTTGTAGTTTGAACCACTTTAAAAAAGAAGCTTTAATTATTATATTTCCATGCTATTTTTAGCATCTACCTCAACCACTTTTTTTTTTAACAACAAATAAAAAGATCATCAATAATATGATATTTATAGTAACTGAACTAGTCAACCACTTAAAATTATGAAGTCAATCTAGACATTTTTAATAATCTAATTAATAGAGATGACATCATAGATTACTCTAGAAGAAGAAGGTGATAAACTAAATTAGTCAATAACTAAGATACGATCTTTAATAGTACTATACTATATATGGGATCCGGCTTCCTCCATTACTTCTTCCCTCCATTTCGTTAAGTGCACGTCTAGATTAGATACATGTGTCATATTTAAAGTTTGAAGGTCAAGATTATATTATATTAACAAATATCATAACCATAGTTAAGTCCACTAATTTTAGAAAACTACTCTCCAAATTTGGTAAGAATTACAATATATTCCATACAAAATTTGATATTTATTAATATCTTTAATTTCATCTTATATTTTTAATTTACAATTTAATATTTAAATACAAAAATATAATATGAAATTAATGATTATAACTCAAAAGTCACTCAACTATTGATATTTTACTTAGAAAGTCACTCAACTATTGATATTTCACTTAAAAAGTCACCCAATCAATTTAAATATTTATTTTCATTAAATTTTGTTGAAATCTAATTTTATTTTAAACTATTTTTATAAGAAAGAAGATATCTATTTTATTTATCTTACTAATTCACTCCAATTATTTAATTATATTGTTATTTTGAAAAACGTACTGTAGCAATAGACAAAAAAAATCATTTTCCGTTCTAGCAATTGTTTAGTAGAATTAAATAAGCTGAAAAATAATCCAAAAAAAGGAGAACATTGGAATTGATCAGAAGTAATCAAAAGAACGCAGAATAGCAATCTTTTATCATTTAAAAATAATTGGTTTAAAACTAAAAATTTACAATTTAATATTTAAATACAAAAATATAATATGAAATTAATGATACTAATAAATATCAAATTTTGTATAGAATATATTGTAATTCTTACCAAATTTGGTGAGTAGTTTTCTAAAATCAGTTGATTTAACTATGATTATGATATTTGTTCATATGATATAATCTTGACCTTTAAACTTTAAATATGACACATATATCTAATCTAGACGTGCACTTGACGAAATAGAGGGAAGGGGTAATGGAAGGGAGCCGGATCCATATATATGGTTATTATTATTATGTTTATACTATATAGTCACATTCAAATTACCAGCTTTTCAACTACTTTACGCCTGACTAATAATAATACTCCCTTGATCCGTACGTTCAACTTTTTATCTATATGACAGTGTTTAACTAGACATAAAGTACCGTTAGCCCTTAGAGTTTGTGTTTTCAACATGTTAGACGAAAAATCAAAGTGTCATATAAAACGAGACAGAGAGATATATAGTGATCAAACCGGCTGCATTGTTGACAGAAACGTTGGCGGAGTCCAGCGACGATGACGACTTGAGCTTTAGCATGATATTCACAGACTTTATGCCTCTTATGGTATTGCTTAGCATCACTTAAATCAACATTACATTTCTCAGCTTGACAACTTCTTATTAGTGAAGAAGAAGAAGAAGAAGAATTTGATGATGATGATAATTTCTTGTTGTTATTATTATTTGTTGTAATGATTTTTTTCTTAGCATTTTCACTAGTGGAAATTACTAAAAAGTCATCATTTTTCTCCATGGATTTTAGCTGATTATTATTAGCTGTTTCCATAGAGAAAAATGATTTAGTACTAAAGTTGATGTGTGAAGAAAAGAAGAAGAAAACAAAGATATATATATATGTGTGTGTGATGATATTGAAGTGGGAATTTTTGAGAGGAAAAAAAGGTAGAGACTAGAGAGTGGTGGTTTTCTTAGGACCACGTCCTTTGTGTACGCGTTTTTGTTTTTTATGGATCTATTTATAATAAGGTTGGAGGTGTGGTGGTATGCATCGGGGCACAGCTAGGTAGGGTCGAGAGGTTTATTCGAATTATTTGTAAAAGAAATTTATATTATTTATATTTGATTAAAATTACTTTATATATATATATATATAATAGATGTTGAACTCTCATTAAAAAAAAATTTATGTGTATAATTCTTCATATTTTAAATTTCTTAGTAAAAATTTCTAACTCTATCACCGATGGTGTGTGGAAGGGGTTGGTAAAGTAGAAATATCAATTTGATAAAGGGGGGAAACACAAACTAGTATTGGTACATGTGTGGGTATGAGAAGCCAATGAATGATTAAAAGAAAGCAACATTCGATGCTACTACAACAGAGTGTCAGTATTTTTATTAAGTGGCATCGAAATACTACTAACACGTAATTAATTTTTTATGGATATTTCCAAGGAAGGTACATCCGCCAGAAAATTGGGTCGAAAATTCATATGATTTTAACTAAAAATATAAAAAAGTTATGAAAATTCAACACAGAAAAAGTTATTTGTATATACATATATAATATAATGTTTCAATGAATTTTGAACTGCGGTGGCTCCGCTACGTACTATCGAAGGCAACATCAAATACTAGTATGCTCCAAAACTCTAATATGACAATTATTATTATTATTATTATCTTTTCCCTTGATTTTCTATTTCATCATTTTCTACACTAATATAAGTATCACAAAATATATTTGATGAAATTGGTCTGACGGATAATATCCTCAATTGCCTACAGCTATAGTTGACATGCTTTATTCCCCAAAATATCAGTTAACTTTTTTTCCACTTAAAAAAACGAATTTATTTGTTTTTAAGATACTTTGAGGAATATTAACAATTGAAAATCACTATGTGACAAAAATTAATTTGAATGGAAATACACCCGATAGATGGGGATTAAAATTATAGCCTAATGTTTGTAACCGCTCAAGTTTATGCTAAGCTATTTTCCAATACATCGTTCTTTCAAGATATTCGATAAAATTAGAATGATACATAAATGAGATTCTAAAACGGATATCTAACATTGAATGAGAATAAAAAAAGTTACAAATCATATAGTCATGTTAAATCAACTTTGTTTAGGAGTGTACGTGGAACATAATCAATAGCAAGACTTAGAGTTCATTGATCATGACATTAGTCAGCGATTTATTTCTCAATGTGAAATTTTCTTATGTAAATATGAATTTAGTCAAGCTTTAATGAAAATATCGAACATCAGATGAAAAAGAAAAAGACATTAATGACGATTTGAATGTGGGAATCCAAAAAAATAAGAAAAAAAATGAAGATAAGAGTACATGGCTGGCATTGGGTTGTCTTAGCTTCTCGTGAGTGGTGGCCCCCTACGCAGGTAAATAAAGAGTTGCACTATGGAGCAGACAGGTTTCGAATAGGGACGATCCTTCTTTTCTTGGGTTTCTCAGACATGAGGGAATGTTGCGGAAATTCTTTGTCGAAACATCGTGGATTAACTAGAATATAATTAAAAGTTGATAAAAAAGAAAAATAACACAGAAAATTTTCCACTATAAAAAAGAATAAGAGGGTGCTTGGATTGGTTTAGAAGTTAGTCAAACCTACTTTTAAGTCAGTTTTTAAATTCTGAAAGTGTTTGACAAATATAAAAAATAACTTAAATAAAGTTAGGAAGTGTTTGGCAAGGTCAAAAATGATTTAATGGGTTAAGACAATAATCGGGTCAAGACCCAACCCAATCCAAATTTACTTGGATCAAAACGGGTTGGGTCAAAATGGATTAGGTAATGGGTAATATAACGGGTCAAGGCCCAACCCAACCCATTGTTTGCTAAACTCAATTATTTTATTTGCTCTTTTAAACTATTTTAGTACTTAATAAAATTATATTTTTTCTTTATGACTATATAACATATCAAATTGAAAAAAATAGTTTGACTAGATTTGTCAGGAGCCAATTCGGGTTACATATCAACCCAATTTTTAATAGTTTGAAATGAGTTGGGTTGAAATAGGTTAAACTAATGAATGAGCGGGTCAATAACCAATTCAAACTTAACCGGGTTGGGCGGGTTGGGTTTGATTTTGCCACCCAAATATTTTATTTTTTAAAAATACATTCAAAATCTAAATATTTATTGCAAAAAATATGTTCAAACACAATTTAAACTTTGAAAATTTCAAATAAAATGATTTTTATTTTTATTCTCCACTTTATATTTGATGCAATCAGAAATTGAAACGTGGCACTGTTGTTCATGATGAAGTCTGAAAATTCATGAACTGGTGTCTTTTGAGGTACGATTCCTCAATGGTGGGGATGTGTTTGTCTGGCCCAATAATTAAAAGGAAAAATTATTTAAATATACAACACTTCTTTATCTATTCTCAATATTTTCCTACTCTTTTATTAAAATACAAAAATTTCTTATTTTCCCCCAATTCAACTTAATCGGATACTTTATTAGTTTAAGTATCTGCCCGTTATTAATTAAAGTATCCGCGCTGCTATATTGTGCATTCGCCCGTTAATTAAGTATCCGTGCTGCTAACAACTTAATAATTTATTATTAAGTATCCGTCCGTTATTAATTAAAGTATCCGTGCTGTTATATTAAGTATCCGCCCGTTATTAATTAAAGTATCCGCACTGCTATATTAAGTATCCACACTGCTATATTATGTATCCGAAAAACACTAAAAAAAAGGATTTTTGGTAATCAATGAAAGAGCAGGGAAATGAAGTAATTTCTTTCTTATACTATGTCATTTGCCTAATTTTTACCAATTAAAACATTGGGCCCATTTGATGTACTCGGTATCAGGGATGAACAAAATCGAATCGAAAATCGTAATTTTGTAGATCGAGTCAAATAAAGAGAAAAAATTTGATTAATATATGGTATTGAAAAAAAAAACTAATTATGTTTGGTTGGTTTGGTGCTAATTTTTAAATGTCAATTTGACATTATATATATAATTTTTAAAATTTATTTTATACATAAAAGTATTTACACTTTGATATAATTTATAATTATTTCTTATACTTTTTTCATAATTTTTATCTTTTAGCATATTATTTTAAGTTTGACTTAGAATTTTGAATAGTCTAGCAAATGTTATAGTCCATAAACATTAGTAACTCTAATAAAGTTCAAATCAAAATCAAATCAATACTAATGCTAACAAAAAAAATCAATTCAACACTAAGAATGACAATAATGTTGAATATGTGTTCTTTAGTTTTACAGTGGTATAGATTATTAAAATACATAACCTAATTTTAGTTCTTCTTTGATATTTAGTCATGTAAATAATATTTATTAGACTTATTTTATTATGATTTAGTACTGATCATTTTCATTATGACTTATTTATCTGCAATAGTTATTTTATGTGATTTCATTATTATTTTTTTATTGAACATTTTAGTGTCATCACTCATATCATATTTTATGTTATTTTCTTAAGAAACAGTTATATTTTGGTAGAACTAAAAAAATATTTGAAGCATAAATTAATATGTTTGGTTTGATTTGGTTTTAAAAATTAAAAAACTCAACACAAATGATTTGATTTGATATTTGCAAAACTTGAATCAATGCGGTCCATGAACACCCCGACTTTGTACATGTAAATTTTCATAGATAACGGCAGTTGCAAAGTATAGTGAAATTTTATTTACTTTCAAAAACATAATAATATTTTCTTTTAAAATGTAACAAAATACACTATACTCTTGCGGATACAATATATGATTATAAATGTGTTTATGTAATATGTATATTTGGTCAACTCTCTTGTGTATAAATGTGTATTCAAATTAAAGCAGAAGTTTGATATATGTGTGTGTGTATTTTCAAATTTATATGCACAACATTGGCCAACTGAAACGACAACGACCAAGTGAGGTAGGGCTGGAGAGAAAATGACATTAATAGTCCCTATGAGTATGTCTAAAATGGTCCTTTAACTATACACTTAATGAATTTAGTCCTTTAACTATTCAAAAACTTAACAGTTTTAGTCCCTTAACTATACACTTACCGGTTTTAGTCCCTTAACTATAAACTTACCGATTTTAGTCCTTTAAGTATTCAAAAACTTATCAGGTTTGGTATTTGTCCAATTTCTTAATACAAATAGCTTAGATTTATATTAATCAAAATCTTCGTGAAATTAAATCATTAACCCATTTTTTAAGTTGTTTCTCTATTCCCGTCCTTTCTTCTTCAAACTACTCTTATGAAAAGAACAGTAATGTCAACGATTCAAAATAAAATAAATGAGGAAAGAAGATATAAGTCCTAATTTTATTCAATGGAGGATAAAATTAAGCACTTGAATATGCTAATCAGTGCAGATTTTATTTAATTTACTCAAATTTCTTTACGTAAAATAAAATGAATAGAATAATAAAATTGATCTATTTAAAATAAATTTTTAAAAAATGCAAATCTACCATTTTATAAATTTCAATTTATGGAAAATTAAAAAAAATTCGTTCAATGAAGTCGTTGGAGTACAACCTTTGGATTTAATGCGTAATAATTTTTTTCTTTTTATAATAAAGTTTAACATATTCAAGTCATTAGTAGCAATGATATTCTTCATTTTATTCTCTATTGAATAAAATTATGACTTATATTTTCTTTCCTCGTGAGTTTTATTTTAAATCGTTGAGGTTAAGGTTCTTTACATAAGGTTAATTTGAAGAAAAAGTAGCGGAGAGAGAGAAACAACAGAAAAAGTTGCTAAAAGAATTTAATTTCTCGAGGCATGGATTCCGTTA